CAGAAAATTTCCTTACCGCCGAATGTATTTGGAATATGGACGAAACCGGGTTTGTCATATTTCCTAAAGTACAAAAAGTTCTTGTTACAAAAGGATCTCGACAAGTTTATAAAGTAGCACATGGTAATTCCTACGATCACATCTCCGTCACTCCAATCATTTCAGCAGCCGGTAGTTATATTCCTCCATTATTTATCTATAAAGGTATTCATACCATTCCAAATTTGTTAAACAGTGCTCCAGCTGGCACCATTATAGGATTTATTAACTCAGGGTATATGCGCGAAAGTCTTTTTTAAATGTATATTGAACATTTCATTAATTCTATTCCATCTAATAGGCCTGTTCTTTTAATATTAGATGGATATAAAAGCTATATAAATTATATAAGTATTAATTTTTGTTATAAAAACAGAATTCTACTTTACGCGCTCCCGCCTCACACTACTCATGTTCTCCAACCATCTAAACTTCTCTTTGCTAAACTCAAATCTGAATACAGTGAAGGTTGTAACAAACTTCATAGTGAAACTGGTGAGCTAGAAACTAATTATACATTTGCAAAAATGCTTGGGCTAGCATTTATTAAGACTTACACCCCTGAAGCAATTACCAATGCTTATAGAGCTACAGAGATTTGGCCCTTTAACCCTAACGCTATAAGCTCAGATCGTCTTGGTCCTTCTCTATCAACTAAATGAATCGATAATGTAACTTTGTCTGCATTGTCTGCACAAGTTGAACAAGAGCTGTCTTCACCAAATACTACATTACCTATTCAACTAAATAATCATTCTAATACTTCATTCTATCTAAATAATTCCACTTGGATTAGTATTACTAGAGTAAATGAACTTTTAGCAGAAATTGATTCTTTAAAAAAAGAAAATACGGCCATAAAACAAACTTACTAATCAACACAAGAGGAACTTGAGATATTTAAAAATCCTGGTACTTGTTTATTAAAGCTATCTCTTAAATATCCTACCTCAAGAATCCCAACACAAGTTGAATCAGAGTTTAGCTAGCCAAAAAAAAGAAAGAATTTTCTGTTCGCTAGACTTCTCACTAATGAAGAAAGTTTATAACAATTGAAAGAAGCAAATGAGTTAGCTAAATAAAAGGAAGAAAATGCAAAGAAAAAAAAAGGAAAAAGCAGCCAAGAAACGAGCTGATTAGGAAGCTAAAAAAATACAAAAAAGGGTTGAGATAAAGCGAAGAAAAGAGAAACGTTTACGTAAAAAAAAAAAATTGATGCTACTGTTAGTAATGTATAATAAATTATATAATTTTATAATATCGGGTTCCATCTTGATTTATTCATATAAAAATTATCAACTATGTAACTTATGCAGTATAAAGATCTTAACATTTTTAAGTATGCCACAATCTCGCACCTAATAAAATAACGATTAAAAAATTGCCTTCAAAAAAGTTGTGATAAACAAATCTTTTGAGTAATAATATTCTTTTTTTTACATTGGGAGATAGTCAAGTGTAACATTAGTTGGTTTAAATGAAATTTAGAAATAAATATTAATTTATAAAAATTTAATTAGCGTCGCAGCTTAGATGCACCATAATACCCTCCACTCCCTTATAAAATGATTTCTACGTAATAATGTAATTAGCTAGTGATCAAAGTGATGCTCAAACACTACGATCAATCAAAATAAAAATTGCGATCAGTACTTGAGCTATCTCTTTATCCGATTTCCATTATGGCTCCAGGAAAAAAAAAAGATGATTAATCAGTTATCTAAAAATCTAGCACTCAAGACTTTGGTATTTGAAACTTGTCTTCAGCCCTCTTCTTAACAATTTTGCAAATAGCTTATCATGGACAACCATATTCAGCAACATAACTTTATATGGATTCGTTAACGTTGAACAAAGAGATAGTGAAGCATGAATATTATTTTAATAAAATATATATGAAATTTAAAAAAATAATTTTGTATTTTTTGTGAACATTAATTCTAAACATCTGTTATTTGTTATGAAAGTTTTTAGTATAAAGTGTAGAATAAAACTTTTTGGTAGTAATAACGGGTTTAGTTAAAGATCCATATTACGAAAAAATAATAAAATGCTTCTCAGCACATTTAGTATATACTTTCCAGCCAACTAATAAAGGTAACCACATTGACAGATCATTTTGATCCTTTCCTCACAAGCACTCAATAGTGTTAATAATAGTTGATTTATAGTATCACAAGCGGGAATTAAGTTTTGATGAAGTTCTAAAGTAATTATCATGTTCAAATCTTCTATTACAAACTATAACTTCTTTGATAGGCTTTTCTAGTATTAGGACTTTTGTTAACCAAATATATATACCACTTGTTCATATTATAATCTAAAAAAATACTTTTAAAAATAGTTTATTTTGTTATTACGAATATACTAAACGATATTTAATTAGCAAACTACTCTATGCGCTTTCATGCACAAGATTAAAAATACTTCAAATCACTTTAATATTTAAAAAAACTAATGAAACAAAAAAACAAACTAATCTATTAAAAAAAAATAGTATTTAAAGTTTTATTTTTTTGCTCTTTTTTTTTAAAACAACTATATAGATTAAAAGAATCTTTTTTACGTCTGTTAAATTTTTAATTTGTTCAATATTACATAAGAAAAATGATCAACATGATTGTTTATACTTGTTTCTACAAAGAGATTGTGGTTTTTAGATTTCTCACACCTACTTTATATGTAACCTCTAATAACAGTTTTATATCTGTTTTGATTATCGTGTTATACCTGATCTTGAATTCTGACTAGTTAGAAATCGTGGATAAATAATTTTTATGGGTGCACTACCAAATATCTCATATTCTGCTGATCTGTTTATCTTCACGATGTCTAAAAAACAAAAAACATGTCAAATTTTTAGTGATCAAACCAATAATCTGAAGTTTATAAACAGTTCAAGTGATTCTAAAAAACCATTAAATACATCAAACTTTCATTTTGAAGATGCATCTTTATACTTCAAACTAAAATCAGATACAACATAGAGTCTTTTAGACTTTCTTCAATTTCGCAAAAAGCAAAACACATGGACGAAAAATCAGAACAAAAAATTTCAATTATTTAGGCAATGTCTTTCAATTGCAATTAAAGATATGGAATTACCTATTCAAAAATTTATATAAAAAAATATAAAGTAAGTTACTCTTAATATTTTTAATTTCTTTTATGATAATCGACTTGGTCTCATCTGTATTGCATAGGGTGTTGCAAGTTTTTGATATTTTATTTCTTCAACTTGGTTTCATCTGTATTTTACAGGATGTTACAAGTTTTGTTATTTTAATTTCTTTGATTTTATCTCATTTGTATTCCACGAGGTGTTGCAAGTCTTGATATTTTTAATTTTTCAACTTAACCTCATCTGTATTCTACAGGGTGTTGCAAGTTTTTATTTTTTCAACTTGATTTCATCTGTATTTTACAGGATGTTACAAGTTTTGTTATTTTAATTTTTTGATTTTGTCTCATCCGTATTCTATAAGGTGTTGCAAGTTTTGATATTTTTAATTTTTTAACTTGGCCTTATCTGTATTCCACAGGGTGTTGCAAGTTTTTATTTTTTATTTTTTCAATTTGGTCTTATCTGTATTGCACAGAATGTTACAAGTTTTGATTTTTTTTTAATTATCATATACATATTTGACTAGTCTTATCCGTAATTACATAGTATTTCGAATCTTTGTTTTGATTAGTATATAAAATTTTTTTATTAATTTTTCTTGTCAGTTATAAGATTTTTTTGTTTTGATTAAAATTTTGACAATATAGATTTTTTTATTTATTATATTAAGATACTTTTTTTAAAATGAAAAAATTGAACTTATATGAAAAGCATTTTTAAAAATCATCTGTCAGTTGAAATTTCAAATAATGAAAAAGTACAGAATTTTAAACTACTTGTATTTGGAAAAGTAAGTATTTAAATTTAGGAATGCCTATTTCCACCATGGACATTTGCTATTTCTATAATACTATCATACTTTCTGTATGACTTTCAGTTACATAAACATGACAAGTATATTGTTATGATAAATTACATCAAATTATAAAAATAGTATACGTCATTTCTCAATGTATAGTGGAAATAGCAAAATTTTTATGGTAGAAATAGGTGTTTCCTTAAATTTATTTAATAAATATTAAAAAAAAGTTTAATAACTTTTAGTTTGGAACTAGACAATGGAAGCTTGAATCAGGAACTACTCTTTAAATGACTTTAGCATCATATTGGCAAAACAAATGGAACAATTTTAATGCACTTACTTTTAATAATCTATTATTTTTAAGAATCATTTATCTGTCTTCATTACTATAGCTAAATGAAATTCTCTCATTAAATGATGCTATGAAAATGAGAACTAATTTAAGTTTTAAGCATAATCTATCTGATAGTTGGTGGCAGCCATACAAAGACAAAATCCAGACAAAAGATAAAAATCTTATATATCAAGATCTATTTTCTATATTCTGTCAAAGAATGTGCTTGCATTTGTAAGTTTTTTTGGAAATTTTCCTATTTTTCAATTATTCTAAAACTTTATATATGAATATTTAATAGTTTAGAGATGTGGGAAACTGGAATGTATAATGAGCCCAATCCTTTTCTTAATGAGAAAACATGGAGACATGATGCATATGATACACTTAAGTATCTTCTTGACCTATTAATCAGTCTAAATATAAAAAAGAATAGATTTTTAAAGTGCAGGCATTATTGGTATATAAGGTTTTTAAAGTGTAAGTTTTTTTGCATGTAATTTTAACATATTATATTAATTTAAATTTTGATTAGAGCGGAAAAGACATTAGAGGCTTCTTCAGAAAGAAAAAAAAAAGTTCAAGTAATTTTTTTAAAATTTATATCTATTTTAAAAAAAAATTTTTTTTAATTGAATCTGAATCCTATATCTATTTATTGTATTTATTTATATTATAAACAGTGTGGTTTAAGAGGAAGAATGGTAGATTTTGTACTTCGTCTCAGAGATTTAGAAAATAAAACACTTGAACTTTTCGTTTGCGAAATCGCTGGAGGACCATACAATTTGAAGTCAGATAAAATTTTATTGGATAAAAATAAAGTTTTTCGAGAACTTCGTGATATGTTAGCAGAAATTGTTGGATATTTTATAACTAATTATCAGAACCGGTTAACAGAAGACATTGTAAATCAACTTCATGAATTAAAAGTATATGCCGCTATTGGGTTTGATAGGCTTTTATTAATTATTAATTTTTGTAATCTATTACTAATGAGTTTTTATAGAATTTCAGCTCTCTTTTTATTCACTTGATATGGAAAAGGGAATAGATGTTTGCTATCCACTGTCTACAATTACTATTCCTAAAGTAATTTTTAAATCTGACAATATAAAAATCATGATTGAAATGTTTTGGTGTCTAAGAGTAAGTTAAACATTATTTTTATTACCTATGTTAAATTTATAACTTATATTTATTTTTTATTTTTAGAATGCTTTACAAGAAATGATAGAATTCATTTTCTCGATCAACAAAAAACTTGATAAATTGTTTGATTCAGAATCTAATCATGTTGTTAAGAATTTTTTACACTATTGGAATAGGTATACAATAGAGATTGTACCTGAGTTGGGTATTACCCAGGTTATCCGTGGATATCCAGATATCTGGGTAGTGATTTTGTCTACCTGAGTAATGCTAAGTAAAAATTTATTAAAATCGAATTAACTACTATATTATAAAAATTGCATTTTTTGGTTTAAATAACCTAGCCAGGGCTTTATTTATTTAATTTTTAAAGTTTTTTTTTAGTATTCAATTTAGCGGATTTGTAAAATTTAACCTTTGTCCAAAATTTTTATTTGAAAATCCCGATTTATAGTTATATAAAATCTAAATAAGTAAGTCTTACATTTAAAACCTAAATTTATTAAAATTTGAGGTTTATAGCCATTTTCATAATTCCTACAACACCTGATAAAAAGCTTTTTCGACCAATCAGGTTATATATAGATTACATTGCAATTTACATTCCAATTTAATATATATAATGTTTTTGCATAAACTAAACATACTAAACGTATTGAACAAGTATTCAAACGAAAATATTGAACGTGTTGACATTTATAATATTAAATTATCTGTAGAACAAGTAATGTATATCTTATATAGGCGTGGTATGTAAATAATATTGTTCAGAACTTTCATAAAACTGGCGCATAAAGTCTAGTAGTCTGGTAAACCTTTCATAATGTAGGTGCAATAATAATATGCCAGTGCACTAATTAACAGTTAATTCAAAAGTTACATACGTTTGTATATACATACATAATTTTATTGAATCAAATTATACTGAATTCACAAACTTAATCGAATCAGCTGGAGCATCATTCGGTCAATTTTTGTCAGATGTTTCAGGAATTATGAAAACTTCTGCAATAAAGGCAAATCCTCAAATCTGCCAAAGCGATTAAGAATCTTTACAAAATATACTTTATTTGTTGATTCAAATTGATTTTGGATTCAAACCCAATATTCATAATGGCAAATGGAGACCTTGTAATACCAAAGTGTTCTAGTAAATAACTCCAAGAAACATGATCATATAATACCGTAACTTAAACTACAACATCTATACATAAAGAGACCGCAAAACTGTACTAACAACGATGATTTGGTATTATAAGCATAGAAGGTTTCGTGTTATATGTTTTAGATTGGACTATCCTTATAAAAGAATATAGTTTCTAAATCTAATTCGTAATAGCAAGTAAATTCTATATCTGGAAGATAAAATTTTACACTTTTATACTAATTAGAAATAATATAGAATATCATAGGCTCTTAAAATTAATAATCTTATTTTTTTCTTTCAGAATCGCAATCTTTCGTTATAATCTTGTTTGTTTACTTATTTGTTTTTAAGTTTTGTTAAAATGCTAAAATGCTAAAATGCTAAAATGCCAAAATGCTAAAATGCTAAAATGCTAAAATGCTAAAATGCCAAAATGCTAAAATGCTAAAATGCTAAAATGCTAAAATGCTAAAATGCGATTGCTGAAATGTAAATAAACAAAAAAAAATCATCTAAAATATACCTATATGCATATATCATATATAGAAGTGATATATGACAAATATAATTCTGAAACGCTAGTGAAATAAGATAATGCGTTATGTGGCCTAGGGTCTGTGCGCTAGCTGCTAAAATGAAAAAATCATTGCTAAATAAGGAATAGAGAAAATTATGAAACTTATAGTTGTAAAGTTAATATTATAGTGTATGAAATGAAAAATCGATAAATCCAAGGATCATGCAATGAAAAATTGCTAAAACTCATTGAACGCATGCAATAAGGACTAAGTGATGTCTGAATCTCCATATTCTATTATAATTCTTATGATTTAGAAGAACAATATTACTTTAATAAAGTTCAAATTTAATATAAAAATTGCAGTCTTTTCTTCTGCTGAAAATAAAATTTGTAAATAAATAATTTGATTGATAAAAGTATTATATATTGCATTATCTATTTGAACTAGATTTTATTTTCTATTGAATAACTTTAAATTAAAAAGCTCTGTCCTTGCATTACGAAGTTATAAAGCTTAACGTAATACTAGAATAACCAATTCTTTACTCTTCTGTTTTTCTAATACTAAAATTCTAATTCCTCACACTTAAAGCTTCTATTTTTCTAGCAATAAAACCCCAATTTCTCACATTTTCAAGCTTTTTATTTTCCTAACACCATAATCTCAATTCTTCATGTTTCTATTTTTCTAACACTATAATCCCAATTCTTCACGCTTCTATTTTTCTAACACTATAATCTCTAATTCTTCATATCTTCAAGCTTCTATTTTCCTAACACTATTTTCATGTCTTCATGCTCTATTTTTTTAACACATAATCTCAATACTTTGCGCTTCTATTTTTCTAGCATTATAACTACGCTTCTATTTTTCGAACATCATGGATCACGATAACAAATATATTTCTGACAGTAATTCTTATACTGACCCTTATATTGACTCTCATACGGCTCCTTTATTGATTTTGATAATGAATTTCAAGATAGTAATACTGACCTTTCTAGTAATACAACTAGGAAAGTAACCAATGATAAAAACAATGAGCTTACAGAAGTAAAAAACACAAAAAGAGTTAAAGTAAATATTACTAACCAGGATAACAAAAAACCTAGTTATGTCTGGGATTATTTTGAAATTGAGAAAGAACGCACAGTTTGTAAGATAATCGTACTTAGAAAGGGTAAAGAGGTGATATGCGAAACAAGTTATAAGCATAACAGTGGAACTGGCAATATGCAACTTCATTTTCGATCAAAACATGAAATATTAGGACCGAATAATCTAGAATCAAGCTCAAGCAAAACAAATCAATTATAGGTTGACCAAATGATTAAAAAGATAGCACCTCATAGAGAACCCAAACAAACGGAACTAAGAAAAGCTACAGCAGAGTGGTTAGTTACAGATTCTTTGCCTTTTAATACTATCTACGGAGCAGAATATAAGAAATGATTAATAAATTTGACTCAGCATTTACACTGCCAAATAGCAGAAATATTAAAAAAGAACTTACTATTGCTTATCAAAAAAGTGTACAAGAATTAAAACAATTAATTTTTACCACATGTGAAACCGCTTCAATAACTACGGACCTATGGACATCTCGAAATAACGACGGATATATTGGTGTAACTCTCCACTGGCTGACATCAGATTTTGAGGTTCGCGATGTGATATTAGGTGTCGAAAAGTTGGACCATCCACATACTGGTGAAAGAATTAAAGAATACTTAAACCAAAAAATTGCAGAATTTGGATTAACAAGAAAAATAGTCTGTGTAGTAATGGATAATGGGGCCAATATGAAAAGTGCTATTAAAGACTAGTATAGTGTAGAACGTATTGCTTGCTCGGCCTATACTTTACAACTTATGGTGATTCAGGCTCTAAAGACTATTAAACAATATACTCAAAGAGTCCATAAACTTATTAAATTTTTCAAATCATCAAAACAATCCCAACGTCTTGACCAAGCGCAAATTGAATTAGCTCATCGTAATAATATTACCTCAACCCCTATTCAATTATGTGATTCAGTTGACTTGCATGATAATTTACCATCTGAAATAGAAACTAATGATAGTAAAAATTTAATTTTTGAAACAAATACTAAAATTTTGTGCACTATTAGTAAAGTAAAAACCAGATGGAATTCGAGCTACAAATCATAGTAAAGGCTTTTAGTATTGTGTCAAGCCATTGAATGGCTTGACACAACCCTACCTTTACAAAATGAAAAAGGTGATAAAGAGGACTCCCGGAAATTGAAAAACCTTATGCTCAAAGATCAGGAATAGGAGTTGTTACAAAAATTAGTAAATGTACTTGAACCATTCAATGATTTAACAACTTATCTCAGTGGAATCCGATATACTACTCTTTCAGTAGTAAATCTGGCTATTGAAGCATTAAAACTTGAATTTGCCGACTGCGGCACGTTTCAGCCAGGTGAACCTAAAATTACAGATATTGATGAATTTAATATTGATAATAAGTGTAAAATAAATTTTCTTTTATTTTTTAGTAAATAAAATTTAGAGTAGTTTGAAGAAGCGTAAACTATTTTTATATGTATAATGAATTAATAATATTTATGTAATGGTATATATTGGTTGTAGTTAGAGTTTGTACTACTTGCATAAATCGTATATATGTACGTATGTACAAGGAAAAAAAATTCAGAATCAACATTATGTGCGCATTGCGCACATAATTTTAAATTTATTGTTCATATTCCGCACATGTTATTAGATATAATGTGCGCAAAAAGATATAAATGGGTTCATACTTCTTCAAGTGTCCCATTAATTAATCATTGGCAAGTAAACATTTAACTATTATTATATTAATATTACCTTTAAATTCAGGTGAAATATCATCTGAAGATGACTGTTCTCATGATGATACAGATGTTCAACAAACGCGATTACGATGTGTGTTCAGCAGTAATGAAGAAATAATTTCGAAAATTAAAAGCATCATTTATAATTCACTTAATCATTATTAGCATGACTCAGAATATATAGGTTTAATTGCAACCTTATTAGATCCACGCCTAAAATCTATAAAAGTATGATCAGAAGAAACAAAAAACAGAGCAATAAATGAACTACGCTCTGAATTTAAGAACTAACAAAATGTAGTTATAACCGATGAATCGGGTTTAAATACCGGAGCAGAATCATTTTTCTCACCTGCACCTACTTTTATAAAAAGAATATTTAGTCATGATCAGAATCGAACAAACTATGACATTGAAATAAACAATTACTTGAATGAAACGATTATGCCACCGCAACCTGAACGTAAAGATGTTTATCAGTGGTGGCGTGATAACA